TAAGTTGGTTAATTACAAGAGAATTGCATTAAAACACTGATTATCCACTAATCAGGAGATCCTGATTTGCTATGCCTTGCATGATTGAAAGTATCGTAGGACTATTATCAAGTTACACTTGTAATAGAAAGTATGCATGGGTGTTAGCTTAGGGCTCTTGAAGGAAAAATAAAAATAGAGGGCAGAGAGAGAGAGACTAGTGATGACTTCAGAAGTTATAGATTAATCGATCTTGCTTTGATATCTAGGAAAATGGAGGAATAAATCAAAAAGACAATTGATTTTAATATACCTCAAAGAGCAGAAAAAATGGGGGTAACAAACAACATGACTTTGAAAGGAGTAAATCACTTTGAGTTAATCTAATTTTATTCGCTGATACAGTGACAGGCCTTAAATATGAGAGGAAGCCAAAGAGTTCATATATCTTCACTTTAGTAAGGTTCAGTTTATGTCTCACACGGTGTTCTCATCAAACAGTAGAGAAAATGTAGTTTTGTGTAAAGGGAGGCATAGCTTGTTACTTGCCATTGAATCAGGAACCTGTTGGGGCAAACCACGTTAAGACCCCAGAAGGGTCTATTGGATGCTTATAGTGAATGATATTTGTATTAATTTCTAGAATTTAAGAATACAGATTATGGAGTTTATAGCCTTAGAAAGATGCTAAATCTGTGGTAGATCTGCAGAATTCCAAAGTGGATATGGGAAGAAAGAAAGGTGGTCTGAAATAAGTTGGATGATTAAAATTTTAAACTTCTTTAATCTGGAAAATTTTCTCAGCCTTTAATTACTTTTATATTTGAGGAGCTCAGGCCAGATGTTTTGTAGAATATCCTCAATTTAGGTTTGCCTGATGTTTTCTAAGGAGCCCTGCTGGCGCGGTGGTTAAGAGCTCAACTGCTAACCCACAGGTCAGCGGTTTGAACCTGCCAGCTACTGCATGGGAGAAAGATGTGGCAATCTGCTTCCTTAAAGATTTACAGTCTTGGAAACCCTGTGGGCAGTTCTGTTCTGCCCTGTAGGATAGCTATGACTCAGAATCGACTTGACGGCAATGGGTTTGGTTTTTTCATTGTGTTAATGTTTTCTTATGATTAGGTTCAGGTTATGCATGTTTGGTGGGTGTACTACTTAAATGATGTTATATCCTTCTCAGTGTATCATACTTGGAGGCAAATAATGTGTATCTGTCTCATTATTGATGATGTTGTCTTTGATCACTTAAGGTAGTCTCCGCCAGGTTTTGCCACTGCTGGTTACTGTTTTTCCTGTAATTAATAATTTGTGGGGAGATGCTATAAGACTATGAAAATATCTTGTTTGTCATCAAACTTGCACCCACTAGTGCTAATCCACTGGTGTTTTCTTGACGGAATCGCTTACACTGTAGTGTTTCCCTGGTATTGACTTTGTAACTCCATCATTCCATCTATATTTGTTAGGTGGCATTCCCCTCTAAAGAATAATTTCCCTTCTTCCTAATATACTTTATCCATTTGTTTATTTATATCTTTCTTAATTTAATGATTTTTAATCCTTTATGATAGTTATTTATTTTATTGTGCCAATTGTCCCGTGTTTGGCCAGTGGGAGCCTCTTAATGCTGGGGCCTGTGTCCTTTTGATACAGCCCTATAATTTTAAAATCTTCTCCAGAAAAAATAAATGTTGTCACTTCAAATTCTATATACTTTTAAGTCTCTTCTGTGTAGTCAGTGTTCTGATATGCCAGGATAATTTTTCAGTATCTTTACAGTTTGAGTGGACTTTCTTTCTGCAAGTGATTTTTGTGTTGCTGTTAGGACCTATGTTTCTCTTTCTCTCTTCCTCATGGGTTTTTTTTTCTTTCTTTCTTTTTTTTTTTGACCTCCCTAGATCTCTATAATGCACATGGTGGGAGCTTGAAAGATAGTTCTATTAGAAATTTCTGTTTGATTCTCTGTTTACAGGTAATTTGACATTTATATATATATATATATATTCTTTTTCTTTTTTTTTTTTGGAGGATATGTGAAAACTTTCAGATTTAGGAGGCTGCTGTTACCTCAGCTACATAAAATTCCAGGTCCATAATTATTAAGCACTCTGCAAAACATGTTGGTATTTCAAGACATTTTGCAGTATGCCATGATGTAACTAGAATTTGTGGATTGCGTAGCTTCACCTTTAGTGATTAATGTTCTCTTAATTCTGTTTATCTAGTTAAATTGAAGTTTTTTTTTTAAGTAAATCATTTCAGTTATTCTATCAAATGGTACATCTATCAATCCTTGAAGTACTTTTTCTGGAATACATGTCTATGGTAAATGTAAAACCATTATTTGAGATCATTAGCTCTCTTGATTATGTACCAATTCACCGTGTTTGTAACTTTCTCCATTAGCTTTAAAAATTATCAAATATATATTTAAATACATGGAAATCCAAGCCCATACAATTTTAAAATATGTACATAGATTAAAGCAATAACTGATCAATAGCAGTTGATTATAAGAATGCAGTGAAAAATAGTAGTCACAGACAGTATGCTTAAACGATGAAATAAGCTTTTTAGGCATAATTAAAAACAGTGTTTTCTGTAGTTGCCTAGCAAGCAGAGAGAACTTATTGGTAGGTAAAGAGTGCTTGGACCATGAGCAAAATACTACAAAGCTTGAAACTGCCAGAGTAGAAGACAATTTGCAAAAGTAGGAAGTGGGTGAGTGTGGAGAGCATGCCCCATCTGAAGAGGGCAACCACTTCTCTGGGCCACGTGAAAGATGCAAGCCTATACTTACAACATTGTCCTTCTTTCAAAAAAAGCTAGAAATCATGATTCTTACGAGATATCTCCTGATTTTGAACATTGTTTAATTTTTTAAAACCATGGTTTGGGACAGACAAAACATGTCAGTAAATAAGATTTGGTTCTTAGCCTTCCAGTTTGCAATCTCTCTTCTGGATGCAACGTAAGGACTGGCAGGTGTTGTAGTGAGGAAAGACCTGGGTCAGAAAAAACTGCTTCGAACCGCAGGCCCACTGCCTATTAGCGTTATCAAATCTGGCAAGTCACATCATGAGTCAGCCTCAGTCCTCTTGCCTATGGGATTAATATGTTAATGGTGAAGAAATATGCAGAAATGTTCATTTTTATACCTCTAGAATTCTACTCAAATTATATGTAAAAGTGAATTAGTATCTTCTATTAAGTTCTAAGTTTTAGTCTCAGAGACATGCCATTTATAAGAATACATAATTTCTTGATATCCTTTTGCCATTTAACTCTAAGCTTGCTAACTATGTCCAGTTTTCTCTTGTTTGAGAGGCCATGTATTATGCATTAGTAAAATCACTCAGTCCTGTGCCAGGTAGAGCTCAGGGCCTTCCTGGTCTTTCATACACCAGTTGTTGTTGTTACCAGGTGCCTTGGAGTTGGTTCCAACTCATAGCGACCCCATGCACAACAGAATGAAACACTTCCCTATCTTGTGCCACCCTAACAATTGTTGCTATGGTTGAGCCCATTGTTGCAGCCACTGTGACAGTCCATCTCATTCAAGGCCTTCTTCTATCTTATCAAGCATGATCTCCTTCTCCAGGGACTGGTCCCTCCTGATAACATGTTCAAAGTATGTGAGATGAAGTCTCGTCATCCTTACTTCCAAGGAGCACTCTGGCTGTACTTATTCCGAGACAGACTTGTTCATTCTTCTGGCAGTCCGTGGTGTATATTCAGTATTCTTCGCCAGCACCATAATTCAAAGCATCAGTTCTTCTTTGGTCTTCCTTATTCACTGTCCAGCTTTTGCATGCATATGAGGTGATTGAAAATCTAGGGCTTGAGTCAAGCACATCTTAGTCCTCAAAGTGACATCTTTGCTTTTCAACACTTTAAGGAGGCCTTTTGCAGCAGATTTGCCTAATGCCAGAGGAAGATACATTAGCCTTTTTTTCTACTCAGAATGCTTGTTCTGCATGTTGAGCTGTTGATTTGGTTACAGTTGGTTTTGGCAAACACAAGAGTACCCCTCCTGTATTAGTAAACTGCTGTTTCTGCTTAGTGTATAAAGAACCAAATCTTGCTGGGCAGAAATTCTGTTGGTTGTTCAATGATAACTGATGTTCTTGTAAAGATTGTGGCTCTTACATGTACTCCATACTTAGAAGTTTTTATTTGTATTCTCTATTGTGTACCTGATGTTTTGAAACAAACTATACTGAGTTATACATAATTTTCATGAGGTTATATTTTATTGTGCTTCTTTCAAACAGTTTGTTTATAAAACATTATACTTAGTAACATAAAATCTGTTTAAGTGGAAATATTTTGAGCTTTGTAATTAATAAGTGTTCTTCCTAACACCCTTGCTCTAAAATAAATAAATTAATAAATTTGATTAAATAACTTTCTCCTTATAATCACAGTGACGTCCAGGAAAACAGAAAATAGATCTGCTTATGGATTTTTGTGAGGTGTGCAAGTGGCATACCAGCATTTTTCTGTGCGTGGTTTTCAGTTAGAATTGAAATGCAATTACAAAGTGAATTGGTGCAATTATCTGGATAAGTCAAGCAAAATTCTCTTCTACCTGAGTGATCTACATACATCAGATAAAAGTACATTTAAAAAAAACTTGAATTATTTGAATAATCACCTCACATCTCCAGCTAAATTTATGTATAAACCTTTCATAGTTTTCAATTGCCTCTCCTGTGTTCTATCAGTCTTGTGGGGACAGTGTGTTTCTTCCTTATAGTTCTGAAGCAGTGTAGACTTTTTTTACTTTTTACTTAAGAGGGCCCTCCTTAACTGATCTTTAGAATAGCTGCATGTACTTGGGAATACTTTTGTTCATCAGCCTATTATATTTTGATAGTGGTATGAACTATATTTTGCAAAAACCTTATTTCAATATGTTAAGGTATAGAGTCTGAATGTGTGTTGGTCTGGATTTCTTTTTTTTTTCCTGTGACCTTGGCAAATTGCTTACTCCTTTGGATTTTTTTCTTCCTCCACAGATGCATTTTCTAGGAGTATTTTGAGGATGAATGTTTGCAAATCATTTTGAAATTGCCAGGCAGCATATACAGTAAGTAATACCTTTTTTAATTTTTGCTCTCAATTGCAGTCATGTTGAATGAATTTGGCAGACAGTCATAAAAGCACACATTTTGATTTACAGTTTTTTTCTTTTTTTTTTTTATTGTACTTCAGGTGAAGGCTTACAGAACAAATAGTTTCTCATGAAACAGTAGTAGACATATTG